TCCACTCCAAATGTGTCAAAGAACTGAATGTAAAATCAGCACCTAGAGGGAAGACCTTACTTACATCATGGTAAATCTTCACACCTCAAATTTAATAACGCATTCCTAGATACGACGCTGACATCAGGAACAATGGAAGAGCAACTGGATGAAGTCTGTCCTATCAGAATTAACAACTTCAGTACTTAACAAGAGATACCGTCAAGAAATTGAACTGGGCATACATGTGTGCTTGTAGTCCTAGTGCTTAGGTGACTGAGGCAGGAGGATCGCAAGTTTGAAGCCAGCCTGGGTACCTTGAAAACATTACCCACAGAATGGGAAAAATATTTACAAATTGTGCCCTTGATAGATGACATGTGTTTAATATGTGGATAGCTCTTATAACTCAGGTACTAAAGCTCTTATAACTCAGGTACTAAAACTAACTCAGCTAAAATGTGCAAATGATTTGAATAGACATTTCTCAATAAAAGATATATAAATGACCACCAAACATATTTTAAAATGGTTCCTGTCACTCATCAGAGGGTGTGACTCAAAACTACAAGAGAGATATTGTATACTTGGCAGGACACACAGAACCAGACACAAGTGGATGTGGAGAAACCGTAACTCATGTGAACCACTGATGGCTACGTCACGTCATGTGGTGTGTTCTTGGGTTCTCCTCCTGCACTGGTGATAGGTGTGTCAATTGCTTTTGCAAACCCACTGATTCCCTCAGTACTTAGAGTCACTCACTGTTCCAGTCTTTGCGTGCCTAGCATATACCCAAGAGAAGTGGAAGTGCACACTTGCACAGACTCTTCCTGGATGCTTGGAGCAGCTTTATTTGTAATTACAAAACTTGGGAACAGCCCAGATGTCCATCAGTGGGAATGGCTAAAACAATCGTGGTCTGTTTGTGCAATGGAATTTCAGTCAGCCATTGTAAGGAGTGAAAGATCCATTAATGCTTCTGCACACAGGAATTTTAAAAAAGCAGTGTTTAGTGAAGGAAGGCAGCCATAAAGGAACATTCAGTATATGGTTCCACTCATAAATAAGAGTCAACAAGCAACTTGATTGGGACAAAATCTAAGTAAGTAATCTAAGTAAGGCAGCCACACCCTTAATCCCAGCACTCAGGAGGCAGAGGCAAGAGGGTCTCTGTGAGTCAGAGGCTAGCCTGGTCTACATAGTGAGCCCAGTATAGCCAGTGCTCAGTAGAGACCCTGTCACCAGAGAGAGAGAGAGAGAGAGAGAGAGAGAGAGAGAGAGAGAGAGAGAGAGAGAGAGAGAGATGAGGATGACCTTGAACTTCCTCTGATCTTCCTCTCTCCAACTTCAGTGTGTTGGCATTACAGGTGTGTACCACCATGCCTGATATACAGAGGCTAGAACCCAGGGCCTTACATATGCCAGGCAAGCATTCAACTGAGCTACATCCTAGCCAAGGACATAGGATTCCTTCCTCTTTGATTTATTTATTATGTATACAGTGTTCTGTCTGCATGTATGCCTGCCTGCCAGAAGAGGGCACCAGATCTCATTACAGATGGTTGTGAGCCACCATGTGGTTGCTGGGAATTGATCTCAAGACCTCTGGAAGGACAGCCAGTGCTCTTAACCTTGAACCATCTCTCCAGCCCAAGGATTCTTTCTTCTTTCTTTCTTTCTTTCTTTCTTTCTTTCTTTCTCTCTTTCTTTCTTTCTTTCTTTCTTTCTTTCTTTCTTTCTTCCTTCCTTCCTTCCTTCCTTCCTTCCTTCCTTCCTTCCTTCCTTCCTTTCTTTCTTTCTTTCTTTCTTTTTCTTTCTTTCTTTCTTTCTTTCTTTTTTTCTTGAGACAGGGTTTCTCTGTGTAGCTCTGCCTCCACAGTGCTGGGATTAAAGGCATGCACCACCACCGCCCGGCAAGGATTCTTTCTTGAGGTGATAAAAATGTTCTAAAATTTGTGGCAGTTAAATTGCTACAAATCTATGCATATACTAAAAACCATAGAAGCCTGCATTTGGCATGTTCTGTATGGAAGTGTGAATTCTGTTTCAATGGGGCTGGTTTTAAAATTAGAATATTTGGGCTGGTGAGGTGACTCAGCAGGTAAGGAACCCACATGATGGAAGGAGAGAACTGACTCCCACACCTTGTTCTCTGGCCTCTACACGTGCACCATGGCTTATACCCCCTCCCAAATAAATAAGTGTGATTTTATAAAATTATATATAATCACTATCAAATATAATGACAAGTAATCATTTGTTGGTGGGTGGTGGCTCTTCTAGCCCCTGTTCTGCACTTCCCTTTGCTTCCCAAATATGAGATTAGGAATTCTTTTGTTTTAAGACAGTGTCTCACTTTGCAGCCCTTACTTGCCTGGAACTCCTGACATGACCCAGCTGATCTCAAACTCACATACATAAGCCTGCCTTTGCTTCCTAAGCGGTGGGATTGATTGAGTGCAACCACTCCCAGCCTCCAGCCTCTTTAATAGAATGTTTTTGTTCTTTGAGAATTTTATATGTGCATACTGTGTATTTTGATCATATTCACCCCCCTTTTCTCCCCCCAACTCCTCTGGGATCCACCCCCACCCTATTTCCCAAGCTTCCAATGTTCTTGAGAGTAAGTGCCACCTCTGGCTCCTTAGCGTCTTCTGAAAAGAGATGAAGTGGAGGTAAGTTGCAGTGAGAAATAATTTTGGTAACCCCTGCTTCAATGCCAAGCATACAATTTACAATAAGCTTGAGGTAAAACACCCAGAAAGCAACTACTCGTGCTTCTTTCTGTGATGCACAGTCTCCAAGAAGAGCAGAGAAGCTTCCCCATAACACTCAACACTGTACTGGCATTCTGATATTAGGTTGCTCAAACTTTAGGCTGGGGATGGACTTGCCTAGCATATTCGAGGCCCTGGATCGAATCCCTGGGTTGAGTGCCACAAAGAAAAAAAAAAAAGCTCAGCCATCTACACTTCTGAAACACAGATATTGGTTTCTGCAGGAGGCAGATAAGACACGTATGGTGATCTGTACCCGTCTGTGTACAGTCTTATCCCATGAACTTTCAGATAGTGTGCTTGAGTCCATTTTAATTCAGACATTTCATTCTTTTTTTTATACAGAAATTATTTTTTACAATGGTGGTAAATTCATGTCAAAATTAACTAAAGCAAAATGATTCAAAATAATAGGACTTAAACCAAGGTAGTACTACTTATAATCATCAGTAATTAGGATATTAGTGTTTGTGTTGCATTCTACATGAAGATTATTTTGTTCATAATATTTGCAATTTTTAAAAAATATATAGGTTGATTTAATCCAGCTGCCACCATAATTCAGTGTGTCTCAGTAGCTGTCGGTCATTCATCAGAAATCAAACAATTTAAAGTCAACACAACACTATATAGGATCCAGAGTCCTGTGTATTTTCCATTTGTTTTTCCAGATAGAGTTTCTTTGTGTAGCTTTGCACCTTTCCTGGAACTTACTCTGTAGTGCAACCCGGCCTCAAACTCACAGAGATCCACCTGCCTCTGCATCCTGTATGCTGAGATTAAAGGCGTGTGCCACCACCGCCCACCATATTTTCCATATTTATGTGCCTTATTCTTATTATTATTTTACTTCTCTCTTTAAAGATTTTATGGGGCTGGAGAGATGGCTCAGAGGTTAAGAACACTGGCTGTTCTTCCAGAGGTCCTGAGTTCAATTCCCAGCACCCATATGGTGGCTCACAACCATCTGTAATGAGATCTGGCTCCCTCTTCTGGCCTTCAGGGATACATGCAAACAGAACACTATACATAATAAATAAATCTTTAAAGATTTTATTTATTTTTTTCTTTTTTTCTCCCCATTTTTATTTATTTATTTATTTTTCTATTATCAGCTTGATACAGTATAAATTCTTATCCTAATAGTGAAATGTTTGATTGAGGCTTGCCCAGTAATTGAGTAAAACCAAAACTTATTCTAAGCCACAGTCATCCTAGGGTCCCCCCTGCTATATAGCCTCCTTGGTTCTGTGGGTTGCAGTCTGATTGTTCTTTGCTTTATATCTAGAATCCACTTATGAGTGAGTACAGACATTTCATTCTAAAAACAAAATTAAAGAGTTCTTCCAACATCTTCTTTCTGTGTGGGCAGTTTGGAGTCTTAGGTTTCTTTTGTTAATGATGTAGTCAAAGCATACCTAGTATGGTGAATGGAAAAATAGGTGACAGAGTTAGGTATTGGCAAGCATTTTCCCCAGTGTTTTCTTCTGTTTTTTTCAAGACAGGGTTTCTCTGTGTAGCCCTGGCTGTCTTGGAACTTGCTTTGTAGACCAGGCTGGCCTCAACTCACAAAGACCTGCCTGCCTCTGCCTCCCTTAAAGGCATGTGCCACCACTGCCCAGCATTTCCCCAGTTTAATATATACACAAATCTTTAAGTATGAGTATATAAACATTAAAGGAAGCAAAATATTTCAGTGGCATGAAAATACATCAGGCGTGGTAGTAGCTAATTTGGTAGAATGCCTGCCTAGTATACATTCATAGTGATCCCCGTGCCTTAGGCTCTTGAGTCCTAGAATTACAATTGTGAGTCAACATACACTACTTAGATTAGCTCTTTTTTTTAAGATTTATTTTTAAAGTGTGTGTGTGTGTGTGTGTGTGTGTGTGTGTGTGTGTGTGTGTGTGTGAGAGAGAGAGAGAGAGAGAGAGAGAGAGAGAGAGAGAGAGAGAGAGAGAGGCGCCCTTGGAGGCCATCAGACCCTTGGGGCTTGAGTTACAAATGTGAGCCACCTGATGTGAGTGACAGAGACCGAACTTAGGTCCACTGCAGGAGCAGTGTGCCATCTTAACCGTGGAACCATCTCTTCAGCCCCTTAGGTCAGCTTTTTGAAACTGGTTTTCATTTGGAAATAACAGGACAGCGCCATTGCTCCCTATTATTACAAGGAGGGACGGACTGCATACAGGGATGTCCTCCTGCTGCGCTCAGCTTTGCTTTGTCTTTTCATCCTACCAGGTACTTTGGTAAAAGGCGTCAGTGGGATTGCAGAGGAGCATCGAACCTTAGTGAACTCCACCAGCTGCTAAGTGACATGATGATCAGAAGGTTAAAGAGTGAAGTTTTGAGCCAGCTGCCCCCTAAAGTCAGACAGCGCATTCCCTTTGACCTGCCGCCAGCAGCAGTCAAGGTAAGGGCCTGGGTTTACCTGAAAGTCTTACTTTAAGCATTATGAATTATCCTATTAAAGACTGTATATCACGTTTCACAGAAAAGCATGCTTTCTTGAAACAGGTTTGATTAGTAGAACAGGACGTCTATTGGTTTTGTTTCATTTCAGGAAAAACACAAGATTTTAATTATCAAATATGTGAACAGATATAGCTCCTAGTGATTAAAAAATTTTCTATTGAGCTGGGCGGTGGTGGCGCACGCCTTTTATCCCAGCACTTGGGAGGCAGAAGCAGGCAGATCTCTGTGAGTTCAAGGCCAGCCTGGTCTCCAAAGCGAGTTCCAGGAAAGGCGCAAAACTACACAGAGAAACCCTGTCTCGAAAAAAACAAAAAACAAAAAAATTTCTATTGAATATAGGAAAAAGCACAGTGATGAAACTATTCAGTATTAAGGACTCATGTTATCTACAATGTAAGTCCCAGTAGTTAGTAAGGAATACTGTGTTTCATGTTCTCTGGATACACACACACACACATACACACACACACACACACACACACACACACACACACACACACCCCTAAAGATGGGGCCGAGGCAATGGCTCCATGTGTGAAATGCTTGCCATGCAAGTGTGAGGACTTGACTTGGGTATCTCAGAACCCAGGTAAAACTGGTACCGTGATAGGTGCCTCTGTAATTCCAGTGCTGCTGAAATGAGATGGGAGCAGAGACATGAGAGTCCCCAGAAGCTGTCAGGCCATAGCAGTGAACAATAGGAGACCCTGTCTCAAACAAGGGAGGAGGTGAGACCCGCACACTAGCTGTCCCTGACCCCCAACACACAAACATATGCCATAGAGTACATGAATGCATGCATGCGTGTACACGCACAGAGACACATACATCACACACGAAGATTTCTTTTTGTAAGTATAAATAGCTATATTGCAGAATAACTTGAATGTAGCTCTGTTCTTGAAATCTGAAACCCTGTGATAACCTTGCAGGATGTAATATTTAACATATCTGAAAGCCAAATGTTTATTTTCCCTGATCGTCACCTAGATTTACTTTTGGGGAGCACATTACCTGTACAGTCTCTGGATGTGACTGAGTGAACAAGGATTTTTTCACTGTTACATCTTAGAAGTTAAATCAGTGTCTTGTAAACATTGGATACTATGGTATTGCTTACCAAACCAAACTAGTGGGAACTCATGAAATTTAGACCAGCACCTGTGGAGCCTCCACGGGACTGGACTAGGCCCTCTGCATAAGGGAGACAGTTGTGTAGCTTGATCTGCTTAAGGGGTCCCCTGGCAGTAGGATCAGGATCCATTCCTGGTGCATGAGCCGGCTTTTTGGAGCCCAGTGCCTATGGTGGAACACCTTACACAGCCTTGGTGCAGGGGGAGGGGCTTGGACCTACCTAAACTGAATGTACCAGGCTCTGCTGACTCCCCATGAGAGGCCTGACGTTCTTGTAGGTGGGAATGGAGGATAGGTTGGAGGCGAGAGGCTGGAGGGAAGAGGGAAATCTGTGATTGATATGTAAAATGAATAAAAAATTTCTTAATAATAAAAAAAGAATTCTTACTTTATCTGCTATTTTAGCATTAAAGAGAAAAATGAAATGAAAAATCAATTTATGATCATACTATATTTTATGTAACTAGTATTTCTTTCATCCTTATACTTGTTTTTGGTTTTTTTAAGATAGGGTTTCTCTGTGTAGTTTTAGCGCCTGTCCTGGATCTCGCTCTGTAGACCAGGCTGTCCTCGAACTCACAGAGATCCACCTGGCTCTGCCTCCTGAGTGCTGGGATTAAAGGTGTGTGCCACCACCGCCCAGCATCCTTATACTTGTTTAAATAATACATCTTACTACAAAAATAAATTCCACCACCCTGTTTTCCTACATGTTCGGTTATTTTTCACTTTATACACTGTTTTTCAAGAGGAATTAATAATTCAGTTGTTTGAATTATGGTGTGACATAACTTGTTGCTGGCTTCTCTCATTAGCATAGACATGTGACCTGTCTCTGCACTGTGGTTTTAAATGAACACATTGATATCTATGGGAATTATATAAAAATTCTTTTTATAACTTTCTATACAGAGAAGGAGAAAATAGGACCTGATGCATGATTGAATTAATTGTTCTGTTCTTGATCCTGTAATCATGAACAATGTTATTCCTCTCCACATAGGAACTGAATGCCAGCTTTGAAGAATGGCAAAAATTAATGAGAGATCCAAATTCAGGTGCCACGGAGACGGTTATGGGGTTGATAACACGCATGTTTAAACAGACTGCAATTGCCAAGGTACTCCTTGTTGGGCCATTATGTATTTGTCTTCATAAAAAGTTTTCAGTGTGTTTTAATTAACCCAATAGGTTACTTATATACTACAACTTGACTCTGCCATTTTTGAATTATGATTGAACACCCAAATGTATTGAAAACAGACAGCAGTGTGAAAAACACTCCTTTTTATAGTTTCCCGTATATACCTTACTTAAGGGATGTACAGATGGTCCTCTTTATTAGCTTTTGGCTTGGTTTCTCTACATGATTCCTGCAAATAATCTTTAAATAAGTTGAGCCAATCATCTTCTATTTGTGTTCTGGAGTTTAAAGAGTTAGATACACTCACATTTACATAAAATTTAGATGCTATTGGGAGTTCTTGCATCCATGTGACTTTCAGATAAACTTATTGTGTGTTACTGTTTTGACAAGTATAGTATTTATAAATACTGTGGTTCCTCTTTTAGGTTTGTTTGTTTGTTGCTTTTTTGTTTTGTTTTGAGGCAGGGTATTACTGTGTAGTCCTGCCTGGCCTGGAACACTCACTCTGTAGACCAGACTGGTGTTGAACTCACAGAGACCCACCTACTTCTGCCTCTGTAGTGCTGGGATCAAAGGTGTACAACACCACACATGGCTGGTGTGGGGAGCACACGTTTAAGAATTTTTTTTTAATGTCCATATATGTGTGTGGTTGATATATTGTGCACCCCAATACACTTATCTGGGATCAGAAAACAGAACAGCCATAATATTAAACATAGAGGTTAGGCAGTGGTAGCACACGCCTTTAATCCTAGCATTCCAGAGGCAGAGATCCATGTGGATCTCTGTGAGTTCAAAGCCACACTGGAAACAGCCAGGCATGGTGACACACACCTTTAATCCCAGGAAGTGATGGCAGGAAGCAGAAAGGTATATAAGGCGTGAGGACCAGGAATTAGAGCTGGTTAAGCTTTTAGGCTTTTAGCAACAGTTCAGCTGAGATTCATTCTGGATGAAGACTCAGAGGCTTCCAGTCTGAGGAAACAGGATCAGCTGAGGAATTGGCAAGGTGAGGTGGCTGTGGCTTGTTCTACTTCTCTGATCTTTCAGCATTCACCCCAATACCAGGCTCCAAGTTTGTTCTTATTAATAAGACTCTTTAAGATTCATGCTACATATGTGTGCCTGCATGAGTTCATATGCAGCATGCAAATGCCCCCAGAGCCCATATGACATGAGGTGCACTGGAATAGAGTTCCAGATGGTTGTGAGCTGCCCACCATGGGTTCTGAGAACTGAATCTGTGTCCTCTGCAAGAGTAGTAAGTGATCTTAACCCCTGAGTTGTCTCTCCAGCCCACAGTTCTGAGAAATTTATATACATATATATATAAAATTATTTTTAAGTGCAGATTGTTAATTTATAACTAACATAACTTGAAATGTATGCTTTTAAAATGTATAGATAGGAAGCCAGCCCGTAGTGTGGCACACCTTTAATCCCAGCACTTGAGAGGCAGAGGCAGGTGGATCTCTGTAAATTCAAGGCCAGCCTGGTCTACAGAGCTAGTTCCAGGACAGCCAGGACTGTTACACAGTGAAACCCTGCCTCGGGAAAAAAATGTATAGATAGGGACTAGAAAGATGACTCAGTGGCTAAGAGGACTGGCTGTTTGGTGTTCCAGAGGATTTGTTTGGGTTCAAGTCCCAGCACCTGCACTGTGGCTCCAGTTCCAGGGAACCCTACTCCCTCTTCTGGCCTCTGTGAGCATTGCATGCATGTGGTGTATAGACATTCATGCAGGCAAACACTCATACACATAAAATCAAAATAAATAAATCTTTAGAATTCTATAGGTCACTAAGGTTTATCAGATGTACATAGTCAGGCACACTGCAGTGCAATCTGGAGGCTATTTTTGTTACACCAAAAGGTCTCTTACCCCAGCCATTTCCGTTCCATTCACCCCAACTATGGCCGTTGCATATTAGCTTTCAATCACTAAATTTTCACAATTCCCGGACACAGTAAGAAGCCTTGAGTTGAGTTTTTTTCATGTACTGTAAAGCTCTTGGTTTAACCCAGGGTGTTATGTAATTTTTTTTCTTTCTGTTGCATCCTGTGTATCCTCCAATGTATAGAAATACAGCTTAGTTTTTTGTGGTTTCTTCACTAGACTTTTAAGGTATTCCAAATTTTAGGGTGTCCCTTGATAGCAGAATATGCTATTATAAATAAAAATAATGTGATAATCCATGTGGCTGTTTATATAGTCACCATTTTCATGAAATTTTTGATTTCGTTACATTATTGTTATCATGGGGAGCACATGGATGCCGCATGTACAAGTCAGAGGACAACTTTCAGGAGTTGGTTCTCTCCTTCTGCCTCTTCTAAGTCAAGGTCTCTTGTTTCTGTGACTGAACTGCATATTCCAGGCTAGCTGGCCAGCAGGCTTCCTTTCCTGTTACGTCTGTCTCTACCCCCATCCTGCCTTAGGAGTGCTGAGATTACAGGTGTGTGCCACCATATCCAGGTTTTTCACTTGGATTCTAGGGATCAAACGCAAGTCATCAAACTTGCATAACAAGCACTTTTACCTACTCCGCCATCTCTCTGGCCCTAGACATCATTGTTATTTCTTGAGGGCAGAAATCTAGACATAGGACTGTGGTGTCAGAGAAACACATGCTTGCCTTCCAAAACCCTTTGCCAAGCGTTTGACCACTTTGCATTTGTGCTAGCATACATGGGGGCTCCACAGGGCACTGTCATGTTTCCTTTTCTATGGACAGGAAGTGCTTTTTTATTTCGGGTTTTGTTTGTTTGTTCCCAAGTTATACTGGATATATTTTCTTTTTTTAATTTTTTATTTATTTGTTTATTTATTTATTTAATGCAGAATGCCATTTATTGAAGGAGGGAGGAGGTCTTAAATACAGGCTTACAGCACAGTGGGAGAACCCCGGAGGGCAGAAGTTCGCTACCAATGTTTTACAATCTTGCATCTAAGCTGTTAATGCCCATTATGCAGGATACACAGACGAGGATCTTGGATATATTTTCATATTCTTTTTAGTTATTTATTTTCTCTTGTGACCTGTTTACTTAAATTGGACTCCTGCTAATATTGGGTTATAAGGATTCCTTATGTTTAGGAATGGATCCTCATACATACATATATATCTTTGTAAATTTTGCCCCCAACCCTGTGTGTTCTATTTATTTATTTATTTATTTATTTATTTATTTATTTATTTATTTATTATCCATTCATTCATTCATTCATTGTTTTTTTGAGACAGATTTTCTCTACATAGCACTAACTGTCCTGGAACTGTAGTGATACACAGATCAAGTTGGCCTCATACTCAGAGACCCACCTGCCTTTGCTTCCTCAGTGCTGGGATTAAAGGCATAGGCCATCATTGCACAGGCTCTCATTTTGATTTTCGTTACATACTGTTTTAAAGAACAGAAATTTGTAATTTCTAAATATTTCAATATGTCCTTTTCATTCTTCTTTTCTTGATTTTTGAGTCCTGATAAACTTTTGCCTAATACAAATTTACAAAGATACCACCTTTTCTTCTATTAATGCCCTAGCTTTAGAGTGCATAGGTACATCTATGAAGTTTTTAGAGTTAATTCTGTTTTGTTTGTTTGTTTTTTATTTTTGTTTATAGACAGGATCTTACTAGGTAGCCCTAGTTGGCCTGAAAGCTGGCCTTGAACTCTGCAGAGATCCGCATAATTCTTATTAATTAATTAATACTTGGATTAAAGGCGTGTGCCACCATCCAGTTTAGAGTTAATTCTTTACACAGCATAACATAAAGATGGAGATTCACAGATTTTTGTTTTGTTTTGTTTTTCAGAGACAGGGTTTCTCTGTGTAGTTTTGGTTCCTGTTCTGGATCTCACTCTGTAGCCCAGGCTGGCCTCGAACTCACAGAGATCCACCTGGCTCTGCCTCCCGAGTGCTGGGATTAAAGGAGTGCGCTACTACCGCCCAGCTGATTTTTGTATTCTTAAAGGTGTGTGTGTGTGTGTGTGTGTGTGTGTGTGTGTGTGTATGTGTGTTTGTGTGTACCATCACAGTGCTCCTTTGTGCTATAGAGTCGTTCATTATGCTCACATTGCTCTATTGTCCCATCACAATGCTCCCTTGTTCTATCATAGTGTGCTATTATTCTGTCACAGTGATCCATTGTTTTATCACAATTCTCCATTGTGACATCACAGTTTTCCATGGTAACATCATAGTGCTCTATTGTGACATCAAAGTGCTCCATGGTTCTATCACAGTGCTCCAATGTTCTATCACCGTGCTCCATTTTTCTATCACAGTGCTCCATTGTTCTGTCACAGTGCTCAACTGTATCATCACAGTGATCAATTGTATCATTACAGTGTTCAATTGTGACATCAAAGTTCTCCATTGTGACATCACAGTTCTCCATTGTGACATCACAATACTCCACTGTTCTATCACAGTGCTCCATTGTTCTATCACTGTACTCCATGGTGACATCACAGTTCTCCATTGAGACATCATACTACTCCATGGTTCTATCACACTGTTCCATTGTGACATCATAGTACTCCATTGTTGTATCATCAGTCTCCATTGTTCCATCACAGTGCTCCATTGTGACATCATAGTGCTCCATTGTATCATCATAGTGCTCCATTATGACATCACAGTGTTCCACTGTGACACCACAGTTCTCCATTGAGACATCATACTACTCCATGGTTCTATCACACTGCTCCATTGTGACATCATAGTACTCCATTGTTGTATCATCAGTCTCCATTGTTCCATCACAGTGCTCCATTGTGACATCATAGTGCTCCATTGTGACATCAGTGTTCCACTGTGACATCACAGTTCCACTGTGACATCACAGTTCTCCATTGTGACATCATAGTGCTCCATTGTGACATCATAGTGCTCCATTGTATCATCATAGTGCTCCATTGTGACATCACAGTGTTCCACTGTGACATCACAGTTCTCCATTGTG